TGCCAGAAAGATGGCAAAAAGTTGTAGAAAGTGATGGAAAATACTTTCATTGAAATAATTTAAATAAATTTATTACAATAAATGCTTTTTCTCAGTATTTTTTGGGCGGAAACTAAGTTAAGGTCCTAATAAATACACGTCAAAATAACACTTTCGCATATTCATTCAGTTTGTCATAAAAAATTGTGAAAAAACAAACACGATTTTCGAGCAATCTGACTCTCCCTTTAAGTATTGTCTCATAATTCAGGAGTTGATTCTTAGTCGTTTTATGAAGAAAAGTTCGTGTGAACATGTGATCACAAAGATCTTGTTTCATAGATATAGGATGTTAAAAATTCTATAAAATACTTAAAAATTCTTAAATACAATAAACTAATAAAGGAACTAATAAAGGAAAGAAAATTTTTCTCAGTGTCGTATCACAATTGAATGACATGTACTTAATTGGAGACAACAAATAAAATTTGATATAAATTGCACATTCTGCATTTACAAAATCATTAAAATATTGAAACGCAAATACCTCCAAAACTAATGGATTTATCGAAATCTACACTACAGTACTTTTTTATAATTAATAAAATAATATTAATAAAATTTATAATTAATAAAATATTAAAAACCTGCAAAAAATTTGATTTCGTCTATTATTATATAAGTTCAGGGCAGTAATATAACATTTAAATCCCGTTTTTACGCCATTGGTTTCTTATACTACAAATAAAAAATGAAGATATGTAATACATTTCTTATTTACTGACGCGAATTTGAAGAAGAAACTTCTTTTCGTCTAGAGATTTTAAGAAAAAAACGTTACATTTGTAGAATTTTTAACATTATGCACGAAATCATTATTATGGAACTATATGACTACGTTTGAAAAATTGAGTAGATTCAATAAAGTTATTGGATGTGGGTAAACACCAAGACAAACATGACAATGAGGTGGCGGATGATCTTGCAGGGGAAGGATCAAATAAATGGTCCCAATGGGCAAATCATCGGCCTCTTTGCCATGGGAAAAATGTTTATTAGGAGACGAATAGGACGGTATTTTGTTAGAGGCCTGCAGGAACTGTCATTAGTCTAAGCTTTTAATAGAACATTCGTCATCTAATAGAACGAGAGAATCTCTGTCAATAAACAGGATAAGGCTCAGAATTTCAATTAGTCTCTTAACATAGTATGTGGCTTTAAGAGCTTACTTGTGCAACATGAAGATGGAGGAGAGCAGTCACTTATGTAGACACAGTAAAGAAGATAGTAAGCATATTATATGCCATTGCTCAGTTTTAGCCTATAAAAAGTATAAAAAGTATAAAAGAGACCCGTTTCTTCGCAATTTTTCTATATTTTTACGTATTTCATAATTTTTTACGTATTTCATAATTGGTTTGCATAACATATTTGTGGTATCGTTATGCTTCTAAAACTTGTATGAATAATATAAATTATAAATTATTAAATGTAATTATTTTCTCTTTTTCAACAAAATATATTCAACAGACTTTATTCAATAAAAGATTAACACTCTGTATTTCTGAAACGAAGCTTTTAAAACCACATGTTCATGTAAACTTTTTATAAAATGATTAAAATTTCATAAAATGGCTAAAATGATTCATATAAACTCTCTATAAAATAACTTCAAATATCAACTCCTGAAATATTGGACAGTACACCATGTATTTACAATAAATTCTATAAACAGGTGTCGATTAAGTGTATAATGAATATATAGTTTAATGTATATATATACAAACTAGACCTGCAACTTGGCTTTTATTTTCCGTTGGTTTACATAAAAATAACATAAACAATACACAGAATTGTTATTCTTCTACACATATAAATAAACCGATACACATGAAAGAAAAATTCGATTGAATGAATCAGAATTCATATATCGACCATATTGTTTGATGTAATATGAACGAACCATATTGTTGATTAAGGTAAACAAATTAGGTTACAAGTTTGGTTACTTTAATTAAACAAAATTATATTTTATTTACATTTTTTTTAAATTAAATTATATTTACATTTCTTACTAGAAATTTTATTACCTTTTTAATTGAAAATTATTTCTTAACGTATTAGTGTGTGATTATTTTGCTTTAAATTTAATTGATTTGATGTTATATTTGGATAACTCACCTCTTATCCTGATGGAATTCAAACCCAGACTTCCGGATTGAGTTGTCTATCTGTGACGCGCTACGTCACTTCATTAATTGATAGATCTGTTATATATTGTCTACCTGTGTTATATATTGTCTACCTGTGTTATAACAGTACATACTAGAATACTAATAGAATATGTAATTATAATAATCAGGAACACTGTTTAGTTCAGCCAACAGTAGTTGACCAAACTTGTCACGTTTATCTAATCATGCTGTCTAATCACAATAAACAGACACTTAGATGTTATAACTGGATCAGAAGTAATCAAATTCCTGACCTAATTGTTCTGGTTGGTTTTACCCGAATGCTTCATTATAATAAAAATTCAGAAATTCGCTTCTCAGTTCAACTAAATCTTGTTTAACCAAACATGTCACGTTAATCCAATTAAAGGTGTTTTTTTTTCGCGTGAAAATATAAACTGGTGACGTGAAAATTTAAACAGATTTCCGTAAGTAGACATTTATCGGTGTGAATTCAGAGAGAGAAAGAGAGGGGGGAGAGTCAATTTCTAAAGGGATTTATAGAAGAAAGATGGTTGCGGTGGTAGATGGTAACAGCTGTTCCGCGTTCAATATACGCACCGAAGCGTGATCGCTTTGTCAAATTTTCACACAGTAACATTTGAAGCGTCGCCTCGCTTTATTCGGAAAATCGATCGGTGCCATTTCCATTGGCTTTACGTATGGCAGGAAGCTTTTAACTTTCCGCATACACACACACGTACAGTAGTGTAACTCGTGTAGTTTTACGAACGCATTATATCGCTCCCGATAAATAAATCGATAAATTCGCAGGAGTCGTATATCCTATAAATCCACGTCGGAATGCATTCCCAGATATCCGAGGCAACGTCTCGACGCTGACGTTTCAATGCTCATCCCTCGAACGATTTTCAAACGACGAAATATCTGAGAGGAAATGTTAATTCTGCTTTCAGTGCCGATGGGAATTACGAGGTGACCATCATGACCAAAGCCATCTTGCACCACACCGGGAAAGTCGTTTGGAAGCCACCGGCGATCTATAAATCATTTTGCGAGATCGACGTGGAGTACTTCCCCTTCGACCAGCAGACATGCGTTATGAAATTTGGTTCGTGGACTTATGACGGTTACACGGTAAGCGACACCCCTTCCCAGTTAATCAATTAGTACAGACAAATATCGCGTAAAGCTATCGTAAGCGTGTGGCCTCAAATATTTATCCAGTCCCTTTTCCCATCGTGATACGATATCGACGGATGGGCCGGGAAACAGCGAGGATCGTGGCTCTGAATCGTCCGCTCGCTACCCTTTTTCGCCTATAAAAATATTTTGCGAAGATTTTTATATGCGATATAAGCAGCCTCGAAATTTGTAATTCTTCCTTATGTAGCGCAGGGTATGAGATTTATGCCGGACATCCTATGTTAATTTATCGCGCACATATTGCGAACCCAAACGAGATAATATGAATATTGGTGCAGATATCCGCGGGAAGAGCTTTGTAAAACCTTCGTTTGTTTCGACCATAAAAATGCTCCCCGTATGAAATATATACCATACACATTCTCACTCACACGCGGGAGATACGTAGTAGCAAAGAAAAGGTCCAATTTAAATAATATTACGCAATTTACATTTGCGTTAAATTAAATTTGTGTCTTCGTGTATATAGTAGAGGGAAATTATATATTTTCGTATTTCCATTATCGTATCTCGTGAACCACATCCTCGCGGATGGAACTTCTCTTGCAATTTCGAGAACGTGCCAGCAGCGTTGCTGCTGATGTCGATGAAACGTCAGGAATCGCCGATTCAAACTCGCACGTCCATTTTCTTTCGCGCTCAGTTTGATGGCTAAGCCCGACTCGCGCGATGGATATATCCGTCACTGACAAATCCGCCTGTCTGTGAGTTTTACCGCTGTACAGCGGCTTGCGGATATAAATTCCGCGTCTGCGGGCGAGTAAGCCATTTCGACACACAGACAGGCAAACAGAGGGAGAGAGGGAAGGAGGGAGGGGGAGAGTCCAGTAGACACTTGAAAAAAACACGACTGCCATATCAACCTTGTATCCACCTGTGCGGCGGATAACTTCCGTTTCCCAGCTTCGATTTCAATTTTCCCGTCCGCGTGTCTGGCGGAGTCGCGAGTGTTTCCCAGCGCGAGAATGGCGTCGTGCTCGACCCGACGAGATTCCAAATCTAAGCTCGCATTTGGACATCTAATAACGAAAGACGGCCGATGAAAATTTCAATCGGTTCGTCGGGATCCCGGCGACGGAAATAAGAAAATTCCACGTGAAATTAGAATGCAAAAGAAACGAAGCGAGAGGAAGAGAGGAAACGAGCCGTAGAGAGAAGCGAAGCGGCGAGAAAATCCACGAAAAGAGAGACACGGCGAAGGAGCAACGATCGCTCACCGACGCCGAATTATCGACAGATCTAAGAAGTGGCCCGGAGAGGATCAGCCGGCGACCGTCGGAACTCCAATGGCCGCGATTTGGCTCTCCAGACTTTATTCCGATTCCGTGGTCCGCCAGCTTTGAGATAGTCAGAATCTATCCCAAGCAGCCATTAGAGGTATCCAATTTCTTCCGTTTGCTCATTCCACTCTTCTTCCTTTCGCTCTATTCCTCTTTCTCTCTCCCCTCCCTTCTCTCTCTCTCTCTCTCTCTCTCTCTCTCTCTCTCTCTCTCTCTCTC